ATGAGTTTGTTTTGGAACAAAAAAAAAAAAAATTGAAATCCATGCACAGTTTTTTCATTATATGCATTTTTATGAACTTCTCGAAGACCCCTTATAAGAAATAAGGCATGTTTGAACACAATAGCAGAATTATAAAACATCTACTATTTTCCTCCCATCTTCAGTCCTTCTCTTATGTGTTCTTTCTGCTTTTGTTGTTTATTTCTGTGAAGAAATAATACTCTTCCAGGGAGTCCCCTTATGTCTTAGGGACAGTGAGAGCCATAGATCTCAAAGTCTAGTCCCCAGACCAGCAGCATCAGCATCGCCTAGGTATTTGTTAGAAATGCAGATTTCTGGACCATTCCGTGGCCTGGTGGTCAAAGTGACTGGACCCCACATGGCCAACTGCATGGTTCAAGTTCCAGACTTGGCAGCTTGAGAAGCGCACTTGTTCGTGTGTGCGCCCAAAATCCTGAAGGAAGGGAGAAGTGGAAGAGAAGGGACCATTCCCCGTAGGGGATACTTTCTCACTTTCTCTCTCTCTCTCTTTCTCTCTTTCTCTTTCTCTTTCTTTTTCTCTTTCTCTTTCTCTGTCTCTGTCTCTGTCTCTCTCTGGCAAGTATACCCCTCTGGCCTTTTTTCTTCTTTTAGACTTTATGCCATAGGGCACGTGTACTCACCAGAGAGAGAGAGGGAGAAAGTCAAAAGGAAAATGAGAAATCACCTCCCTGGGGGTGGGGGGCACAATCCCTTCTCCTTCATTCTTGGGATTTGGGGCACACATATGAGCCCGGCATAATTTTCAAGCCACCAGTTCCAGGATTTAAACTGTAGTCGACCATGTGGGAATCCAGCACCTTAACTACCACACTACCTGTGAGCCCCGACAGAATGTAAAGAAAAAGAGAGATGCAGATTCACCCAACTAAATCAGAAGCACAGAAGACACAGTTCACGACTTCTGCCAGCCTTCCCCAAGAAATCCTGATGTGCTCCACAGTCCTGGGCCCATGCCTCGGAGAAGGGCCATGCTAGGCGATGGAGATCTTTCTCCCACCGTGGCCTGTACACCTGGTCAGACCAAATGTGTGTCACTAACAGAGTTCTGCTGGAAAACGTGCTCAGGAAGCACCACGGAATAGGTCTCCTATTTGGATATGTGTTGTGTGTGTTTTCTGAGGAGAGGCTCTGAGAAGTCCTAAGGAGATTTCATTCACTTTGTTTAACCAGAAGCTCCCGTAATGATTTGAACACCAGCTGATGTGATTACCACGAGATATCTGCTAATATCTCATGGCTAGCATTCTCTGGAACATGTTTTGGGAGAAACTTCTGGAGAGAGCTCTCCCCCATGTACTGTCAATCTTTCATGTGTCCTGGGTAAAAACACACACTCTACCCACTGTGGGAATCATGCCTGCCCCATCTAGAGAGAGCCAGACTGGAAGCCAGTGCAGCTCGCTCCCCTCACCCTGTACTGTAATACATTTCTGTCCGTTCATTCCACTTCATTCTCTGCTCAGCCAGAGAATGGGGTGGCCTCCCCAACTCTGCCCGGAAGAGCTGTAGAGACTGCATCACGTCCATGCAGTGTGTTGTCTGCATCTCCATTTTTACCATATTTATGAAGCTCATGTTGCTGGATCACAAATGGTGTTTAGGTGTTTCATGGTGTGCACATTTTTGTAAGGAGCAAATTCATTTTCAAATATTCTTACATCTGTCTTTACTAGCCTGTCCTAAAGATTACGTTTTTCTATTCCTTTATTATTTTCTTTAAATGTCAAAAATCATGATCTCATTGTAGAATTCATACTTCTATCATTGTAGCTTTGTCTAAATTGCACCATTTCCCATCTTGCTTGAAGAAGTCTACAATCAGTAAAGAGGATACTGACTCTTACATCAGACCTTCCGTGTGCGTTATCTCAATTACTCCTTAAAATAGTAGGAAGGAAAGGATAGGGAACCCTGTGAGATCGGTATTATTAACCCCATTTACAGACAGACTGAGATGTTTACATATAAGAAACTTGTCCAGGCTGGACAATGAGTGGTTTTAGAATGTAGAGCGAGAGTGCCTGGGTTTGAAACTTGGTTCTGCCACTTGAAAACTGTGTGACCTTGGGCAAGTTAATTAGCCTCTCTGTGCCTCATTTTCCTCTTCTGAAAACTGAGGATAATGTAGTATCTACACCACAGGGTTGTTACAAGCTTTTACACTGATGATATGAAATGCTGAGAAGAATAATGGCCCATAGTGAATGCTCAGAAAATGTCAGCTGAGGAAAGAAAAGCTAGAACAGTCAGGAGGATGTCTGGCATGACTGACCTGGAGTCTCTTAGCAACAGTCGATACTCAGTACACATCGTGGATCAAGCAAGTAGGCAGACCCCTCACTCCACATTCCGCTGAGTGTAAACCACAATCAATCCCGTGAAACACCAGGGTTTAAATGGCTGTGGTCATTTCCTGCTGTAAGGTGCACGCTGACCTTATGTTTCTCTTGAACCTCCTTCTGCTGCTCTAGTTTCTCATTCTGTCTCTGACCCCCCTCATCTTTCCTGATGGCATATCTAAATTTGTAATTATAATTTGTTGGGAGATACTGGGATATCATAAGTGATTTATAGATAGTGTTACTTTAAGGGCATACATGATTTTTAACTCAATAAGGGTTCTTTTATGAAACTCAGTTTACCTTGTGGATCCTCTTCCTCATGAGCACATCTAGCAAAACCCAGAATGTGGGCAGTCCGTTGATGATGGACCTAGTCTCCTTTGAAAGAGTTCTTTCAGACCACAAGTCCCTAGAGTTGAAGAATTCTGCCCCACAGCTGTTAGGTTTTGGTGTCCAAAGTCATTGGAATGCTTATAGTACCACCAAATCACCTCAGGGGAGATAGAGAACAAACAGGCTCTCAGAGCAGTCATTTCTGGTGCAGGTCATAGCTGACGGAGGTTGGGACGCCCCAGCACAGCTCTCAGATTCCACAAGGACTCTAGGACGGAGTCACAAGAGCACAGGGTCCCTTCATAGCTACAGTGTACAGCAGTTAGAGTGACACTTTTAGGTGCGGCCTTCAGATGTTTCCAGAACAGACTATACACCGTGAACTCAGGACCACCAGCGAGATCTGCAGGAGGCCGAGTGGGAGGATGGTTGCCCCAGTTTCCTGGGCACAGAGATTAGCTATTTGGTGTTGGATAGCTGACTCATCCAGTCTCTCTACAATGAGGGTGTATAGGCAACACATCATAGTCATTAATGAACTAGAGACGTACTGCTGAGAGCACAAGAGCTTTCCTACCAGGTGAGTACCAAGGAACGTGAGAGAGCAGTTCTCCCTCCACCGCATCCCCATCACCACAACAGCGTCCACAGTTGGCCATTGACTCACCATTATCATACAAGACCTGTGTGTAAAGCAAGTCTTACCGAAAGCCAAGAAATTACACCCTGACAGATAAATTACATAACAACAGCACAAATGTAGTAATTATTATTAAACAGGCTCCATTCAGAGAACTTTGCATATATTCATTTTTACCCATAAGACAGTCCTATGAAGTATATAGTATTTTTATCCTTGTTTTCTACACATGAGGAAACTGAGGCACAAAGAAGTGACATGGCTTACTCAAAGTCACATAACTTTATAGATGACAGAGCCAGGATTCAGCTTTACACATGCAGCCCCAGAGTTTCCACTGTTATAAACTATGCTATCTTTTAAATATGAGAAAAAGGAATAGTACAGCCATTTTTATTTAGATATGAACTATGTTAATATTACACATTTTTTTTCTTGCCAGAGAGTGTGTGTGTTTGCTGGAGAAAGATGGAGAGAGAAAAAGTGAGAAAGGAACGCCCCCGCTCTGGTGGGAATGGTTACTCTGAAATCCCTTCTCCATTTTCAGGGTTTTGTGCACACATGTGCACACACCTGAAATGTTTTTCAAGCTGACAGGTCTGGGACTTGAACTGTTCAATCAACCATTTTTGCATCAACAACAATTGTGTAATATTGGGCCAGTAAGTGGAGGTGGTTACGGTGACTGGATCCTACATGGCCAACCATGCAGTTCTAGTCCCAGACAGTGGCTTAAAAAACATATTAGATACATGCATACACATGCCCAAAATCACAAAAGGTGGGAGAAATAGAGGAGAAGGGATTGTAGCATGACAGTTCCCCATGGTGGAGGCTGTGCTCTCTCACTTCCCCCTCTCCCTTTCTCCAGTGAGTGTATGGTGTGTGTCTGGCAATAAATGTATGCAAAAACATAAATTTGCCAGAGTCAATCATGTGCTGAGCTATACAGCTAAGACTTGGCAAATTTTAAAAGATTGAAATCACATAGAGTAAGTGTTCTTCGACCATATGGAATTAATTCAAAAATGAATAACAAAAAGATACCTATAAAATCCTTAGATGTACTGAAATTAATAACAAAATTCTCAATAATCCCAAATTCAAAGAAGAAATAACATTGGAAATTAGGCAATGTTTTAATTGAATAGTAATTGCAACAAAACAAAATTTGTGGGAGATAGCCAAAGCAGTACTTAGAGGGTTATTCTTAGCTTTAAGTATTAGAAAATAGTAAGTTGGAAAAGCCATGATTTAAGTTTTTAATCTCAATAAGCTGAGAAAAAAATCAGTTAAATCTAAAGAAAATAGAAAGTTTTAGGCTACTGTCAATGAAATATAAAAATGAGCATACAGTAAAGAAAACCAACAAAACCAATGTTGGTTCTTGAAAAGATCAGTTGCAGTTAAATCTTAGAAGCACTTCAGTATACTTCCTTCCACCTACTGCCCTACCACCTGCTAAATTCTGAATTATGAAGTAGATTGTCTTAAGAGGGGGATTTTTAAAAAGCCAGTCTCCTCCCACAGAAACATTTTATAGCACTAATTGATATTAGTTTGTCGATTCCCTTTTCAACTTTGAGTCTCTGCAAATTCTTTTCTAACTATTCTCCTGTCTCTGTTTGTTCCATGCTAAGCAGATGGCCCAGAAATTAGCCAAAAGCAGGAAGAAGGTGCAGTACAACTTCATCAGCTTGGTGTTATGCCTGTTCTTTTCATTTGTTTATGTTTTACCGTTTTATTATTTCGTGTTTTTGTTTTCTGCATCCAGCAAGTTTTTGTTCAGATTTATTTTTGAACCGCCCCATAAGCCAGCATTTCTCCAAACTCAGTTGCCTAAAGTGGCTGTTTTCTGTTGCTCATTAGTCATTTCACTTCAGAGGAACAAGGAGCAGATTGGAGATGCTAAACAAATCCTGTGGAAGTGTGGAAGTTCCAACCATTCAGGAGCCTTGATGTGGCAGGGACTTGGGTCTCTTCAATTATAGCTCTGTTTGATTTGTGGATTTGTTAGATTGCTGGATGCAAAAAAGAAAACTCACTAATAACCACACGTGTGCGGAGTTAAGCCCTAAATGAACCAGACTGCTTTTTTGGTTGTGGAGCTTCTAGGTGCTTATCAGTTATTCCCTGGGACATTGAAGCATTGGGGCTGTTTCTTAATGGGTGGCTTCAGGAGTGGGCAACTGCTTCTGTGTTGCTGTGGTGATGTGTGAACATGAAGACCCTCTTACCAGAACTGCATCCACATGGCTTCATCTGCACCTGCTATAAACATTGTCCCCTCTCAGCTCAAGCAGGAGCAGGCTCTAAGCGACTTCCCCACAGTCCCTGAGGATGTGCTAGTTGCCCTTACTTCTTCAATCTGTTGGCTCCAAAACCCTTGAAGAAGGGCCACTGAGCATCATCGTTCAGAACCTACTGCAGCAAGTCACTGCTTCTAGGAGGGAAGAAGCCAAAGGGATTTTACATCCTACCGTACCCTAGAGATGCTAACCCTTGTCCATGTGTTCATCCTCTGTGTGGCAATTTAATCCTAGAGTCTGCGTTGCCGTTCTGGTGACTGTGTCTTGGTGCCTCTGTGTGTGAGCTAACCTTGCTCTCATGCATCTGGGTCAGGGTCATGGAATAACTCTTTCTCCTGGTGTGTGTTTCTTCTCAGGCTCCTGAAGGTGAATCTCAGCCAATGACTGAAGTGGATCTCTTCATTTCTACCCAGAGAATCAAAGTGTTGAATGCTGATACACAGGTAGCAGCTGGCTTCTACTTTTCCAGGGGTGCAGCTTACTGGCATTGTAACCCAGAGACTGCGGCTGTGTCAGTGCAGCCGCTGTCTCCATGCTGGGTTCTAGCACATTGGAAGGCTGTGTTTGCAGGGCTTCCTTCTACCCTGGGGCAGAGTGCTATTTCCTCAAAGGAAACACTAAAACGTAGATGGTGGATGTTATTTATCATTCTCCTGAGTTCTTATTAGAGGATTCATTAACATGGACAGATTAGCCTTCTAAGTTGTGTTTACAAATCACACTTGAAGGCTAGCCAATGGCATGGTGGTTAAGGCGGCTGGATCCCACATAACTAATGTGACATTTAAGTTCCAGACCCAGTGACTTGAAAAAAAAAATGCTGAGTGCTTGGGCATGCATGCCCAAAGTCCCAGAAGGAGGAGAAATGAAGGATAAGGGATTAAGGCATGACCATTCCCCATGGTGGGGGGTGCTTTCTAACTTTCCTATTCTATCTCTTGCTGGTGAGTGCATGTGCCCTGTGACTTCAAATATTTTTAAGTCACACACACATACATATACACAAATGCCATTTAGATTTTATCTTTTTTTAAAAACTTTACCACCAGATTCTTTTCTTTTCTTTTCTTTTTTCCCAAGAGAGATATTTACTGTAAGGTACATATACTCACCAGAGAAACAGAGACAGAGAGATAAAGTGAGAAATTACCCCCCCAGAGAGGATGGCCATGCCATAACCCCTTCTCTTGGGATTTTGGGCACAAATGCACATGCACCCACCATGTCTGGCTCTCAAACTGTTATCAACCATGTAGGAGTTCGGTGCTTAACCTCTGTGCCTCCTACTACCCCCACCGCCATCAGATGCTACCGGTTGCATAATGTTTGAAGTTTCTTACATCTGTCCACACACTTCCTGCCTTTTAGTTAGTCACCCACGGGCCTAGTGGGTTTCTGTAAGTCCGCCAGCAAGGCCTTTGCAGTGAGCCCCAGAGGCTTCTGCGTGAGGACGTATGTGGCTGGGCTGTGGGGTGGAGCCTGTCTCAGGCATTCTGGGATGCCCAGACTTAACCATTCCTCCTCCTACCCCCAGGAGACCATGATGGACCACCCCCTGAGGACCATCTCCTACATCGCAGACATCGGGAACATCGTCGTGCTGATGGCCCGCCGGCGAATGCCCCGCTCCAACTCTCAGGAGAACGTGGAAGCCTCCCACCCATCCCAGGATGGAAAACGGCAGTACAAGATGATCTGCCATGTCTTTGAGTCAGAAGACGTAAGGGTGGCTTCCCTCAATGTCCCCCTGGGAAACCTGGGCAGCCATTGGGTGGCTTGATTTCACAGAACCTGAACCAGTCTGATCCATTATATATTAAATGTATTTATTGAGCATTTACTGTGTGTCAGGCACTGTTCTAGGCATAGGAGGCTGAGTATTATAGACAAGAACCCATCATGAGGGCTGAAGGGAGACAGAAAATAGATAATATACTTAATACAGCATGAAGTAATAGTGATTGCTGTGGGGTAACAAAAATGGTCAGAGAGAGAGGGCAGGGGCTGTTTCCAATAGGATGATTGGCAAAGTCCTTTTTTGAGAAGTCGCTGTTTGAGCAGAGACCTGAATCAGGTGAGGAGCAAGTGCAAAGGCCCTGAGGCGGTAGCCTGCTGAATTAGTTTGAGGAAGAGAAAGGAGGCCATGTTGCTAGAAAGCTCCAAAAAAGGGAAAGGGATGGGAAGAACTCAGTCAGACTTGCAGGACCCAAGCACGTCTCACTGAACATGAGGGCAGTTGGTGAGGACAGTTCTTTGCTCTGCAAGACAGCCATGTGGGCTGCAGGGGAGGTAGCATCCCTGCCTGCCCACCAAGCCCCAGTCCTTATGAGAATTGGCTCCCTCTCCTGGTGTAAAACCAGGGATTCCCATTCCTCATGGCTTGAGGTGATGAAATCAACAGAGAAAACAAGTTTACAGCATAGGCTATTCTTTCATTCAGCCACCTCCCAGGGCTGTCCCCAGAACTGCTGATGAGGCCACCAGGCTTCAGACTTTCTTAGTCCCCAGCTGCCCCAAGCACCCGCCTTCCCTGGGCCTCATAGTCTTTCAACTCCCCACTAGGGTGGCACAGCCCCTTGATGGATCTGAAGTGCAGAGCCCCTGTGCTGCTGCCCTAGAGGGCCAAGTCGGTGCCGTTGAAGGCGCTGGTTTATCCTCCAGCCACAGAGGAATCTGCTGTTTCTGAAATTGAGCAGAGAGCCCTTATCCACTTGAAAGAAAAACAGCTTCCAATAGCCTGGGCCACTTAAAAGAAGCCGGTTTTCTCCAACAGCGTTTGTCTGGGTGTGGATCGTGTCTTCCTCTAAGAAAGTGGAAGGTAGAGGCCATCCTGCTTTGCTCTGGGAGCCCAAGCCATCCTGGCTGTGGCCACAGAAGGAGACCCTGACACTTTCGTCACCGTGCTTTACTGGTCTGGTTCTCTAGAAACCAGGTCTGGGACAGGGGGCTGAGACAGCAGCACTCGAAATCCTCCCCTCCCCCGCTATTCTCCCTGCCATGCCTTTAAAACCGAGGCCAGATGTGCATACTATCAGAAATGAGTTTTAGAAGGTTCTCAGGAACTTCCAACAGAGTTAACATTCAGAATCTTTTTTTTAACATACATACGCACTTTATTTATTTATTTAAATTTGACTGGAGAAGGACGAAGTGAGAGAGAGAGAGAGAGAGAGAAAGAAGGGAAAATGAGAAAGCCAGCTTCCAGGTTCGAGACTTGAACCACGGTTGCCCATGTGGGAGTCCAACACCCTTAACCACTATGCCACCTGCCAGCCTGAACTTTCAGAGTCTTAAGCCCCTTCTGTCTGTAGGGCCAAAGACAAGGTGCAGTTAGTTCCACCCACTGGGACCCCCTGCTCCCTCCACCTGACTTGGAGCTTATAAAGAGGAGCTTCTTCTCCTTCCTTTGGGTCTATCAGGGAGGACTAGAAAGAATGCAGAAGGAAGTTAGGACAACCTGGAAGTCTTGTCCTTGGCTTCCACTGGAGCATGGATGAAGAGTTTTGGCTCCAGGACTGGGAGAGTTGGCCTCAAACTCCACTTCCAGGTACAAGCTGTGCACCCACTGAGCCTCAGGTTCCTCTCTGTAGCACTAGGATGCCTCCCTCATCGGCTGCTGGGTGACTCCGATAGATTGTGCATTGAGAGTCTCATTCCTGGCATGTGCAAGTGCTCACCACCAAGGCCGTGCACTGATGCTAACCAGGGAGTTGCTGGTTGTGTTCCCAAGTGTATATTTCTCAGTTTGTCTACACATTCCTCTGATGCGGAAAGAGATGGCTCATTCCCTTCCAGTATTATAGCAGGATGGAGAGGGTGGTTCTTGATGTCCTTGTGTAAGAAGTCACCCGATTTTTGAAGTGAGGAAAGTTAAGCATTTCTTTTCCTATGGCCAGCTGCACAGAAAGATCTGGCATCACTGTCAATTAGCTGCTTTTGCCAATAATAAGAAAAGCAGAGAAAGGAGGAGTGGAGGTTAGAATTGTGTGTGTTTTTAAAACATTGCTCCAGAGATGTGTTTTGGTTTTATTTTTCTACCCATCTGAATTTCAGAGTGGCTATCCCCCGTGGTGGGCGGGAGGGTGGGCTCTGGCATCAGTCTGCCAGGATTCAGCCTCTGGCCTCAGCCTCTTCCCAGGGAGTGGGCACTTTAACCTCTCAGTCTCTGTTTCCTGATCTAACGGGGACAGTAATACAGATCCGAGGAACAAAAGAGGTTTTGCAGTCACTTGGCTAATCAGACCTGACCCGCTGTCGTCAGTTGTGTGCTGCTGTCACAGAATTGCAGAGACTCGGTAATATACAGTGAATGGAATCTGTCTGCAGCTCCAGAGGCTGGGAAGTCTGAGGCCAAGGCACTGGCAGGTTGGGTGTTTGGCAGTTGCCGCCTTTCTCTTCTGAAATGACATCTTGAATGCTGTGCCCTCCAGGAAGGAAGAAGGCAGAATCCTCATGAGGCAGAAGGGGACAGGGCTGAGAGCCAGAGGGACACAGACTTGCCCTTTCATAACAGCGTTAATCCTACCCACGTGGTCTGAGCCCTCCCGGTGTAGTACCTCTTAAAAGTCTCACCTCTTAGTACTGTTATGATGACAGGTTTCCACAGGAGTTTTGGAAGGGACATGCAAACTACAGCCACCGCTGGGAGGCAGTGCATTGGGCCTGTCCAGCTAACCAGGACGCTTACACATTTTGCTGCAGGAATGTTGCTGTGTTCGTGAACAGGCTACTTCCCCAGACCCTAGGACTCATTGCACAATGTCCAGTGTACCTCTCCTGTTGCCTTTCTAAAGCCTGAAATTTCCTGGGTTCTGCCACACCATCTCAAAGGTTTCAGGTGGAAGATTGTGGGCCATCTATCACAGAACCGATATGAGGATTCACGTGATGGTCTCCTATTGGACATAGTCCAGGCACCTTGAAATGCTCAGTTACTGTTGACTATCCCAATTAAGAATCTTGCTTAGTTAATGCAGGACAGCATTATCAAAGCCCAGTGCAGGAAAAGGAATGGAAGCCACGTTCCACTTCTGTGAACTGTGTAACCTTCAGCAGGTCCCTGTGGATCTCTGAGCCTCAGTGTCCTCAGATGGGAAGTGTGAGGTTAGACCAGATGAGAGCTCCCCATTCTGTAAGACTAGCACTCCCTTTTCATGACAAATACTTTGTAATGCCCCATTACCACCCTGAAATGATCTCCATAGATAATATAACCTCCCTTTTGAAAACAATGTTCACGGAATAAGCAAAATATGGCCATAAATGTAATGCAAAGGAATAAAAAAGAAAAACAAGCTAAAATAAAATCATACCACAACACTTAAAACTTTGACCCAGCCATTCCAAAGAGCATAATGAAGTATCAAATGCTCACACTGCTTGATTAGCAAGTTTGCATATAAAAGAACATAGCACACAATGGAATATTGTAAACACTTTCTATTCAACATTCGAATTGGGTTTAAATAAAAATGTATATGGGAGGCCAGCAGGTAGCATGGTAGTTAAGGCACTAGATTCCAACATGGTTGACTGTTGGATCCAGCGTCTTAAAAATCGTGCCAGGTGTAGGTACATCATGTGTGCCCAAGATCCTAAGATCAGCATGCCCATCCTCTTGGGAGAGGGGGGGTAATTTCCTGCTTTACCTCTCTCTACCTCTCTCCATCTGTCTCCTGTGAACACAAGTGCCCTATAGCAAAAACTGAAAAACAAAACAAAACAAAAAAAACACATGTAGAGTCATGACATACATGACAGTGAATGCGTAAGCAGGCTGTTAGGACTGTAATTTACTGCCCGCTCCGATACCACGAACAGCATTGATGTTGATGGTTTCAGAGTCTTGAAGCTTATTCCTGGTAGAGTGCTGGACAAAGCAAAATGCCACCTTCCCTCCATTTTTGCAGGATTCTTCTTGAAACAGTCTGTGTGTATAGAGTCACACAGTGAAAGTTTGTGTGTGTAAGTTAGAGTTGAGACTACTGAGCCTCAGGTTCCTCTCTGTAGCACTAGGGTGCCTCCCTCATCGGCTGCTGGGTGACTCCGATAGATTGTGCATTGAGAGTCTCATTCCTGGCATGTGCAAGTGCTCACCACCAAGGCCGTGCACTGATGCTAACCAGGGAGTTGCTGGTTGTGTTCCCAAGTGTATATTTCTCAGTTTGTCTACACATTCCTCTGATGCGGAAAGAGATGGCTCATTCCCTTCCAGTATTATAGCAGGATGGAGAGGGTGGTTCTTGATGTCCTTGTGTAAGAAGTCACCCGATTTTTGAAGTGAGGAAAGTTAAGCATTTCTTTTCCTATGGCCAGCTGCACAGAAAGATCTGGCATCACTGTCAATTAGCTGCTTTTGCCAATAATAAGAAAAGCAGAGTAAGGAGGAGTGGAGGTTAGAATTGGGTGTGTTTTTCAAACATTGTAGAGTGGCTATCCCCCGTGGTGGGGGGGAGTGTGGGCTCTGGCATCAGTCTGCCAGGATTCAGCCTCTGGCCTCAGCCTCTTCCCAGGGAGTGGGCACTTTAACCTCTCAGTCTCCGTTTCCTGATCTAACGGGGACAGTAATACAGATCCGAGGAACAAAAGAGGTTTTGCAGTCACTTGGCTAATCAGACCTGACCCGCTGTCGTCAGTTGTGTGCTGCTGTCACAGAATTGCAGAGACTCGGTAATATACAGTGAATGGAATCTGTCTGCAGCTCCAGAGGCTGGGAAGTCTGAGGCCAAGGCACTGGCAGGTTGGGTGTTTGGCAGTTGCCGCCTTTCTCTTCTGAAATGACATCTTGAATGCTGTGCCCTCCAGGAAGGAAGAAGGCAGAATCCTCATGAGGCAGAAGGGGACAGGGCTGAGAGCCAGAGGGACACAGACTTGCCCTTTCATAACAGCGTTAATCCTACCCACGTGGTCTGAGCCCTCCCGGTGTAGTACCTCTTAAAAGTCTCACCTCTTAGTACTGTTATGATGACAGGTTTCCACAGGAGTTTTGGAAGGGACATGCAAACTACAGCCACCGCTGGGAGGCAGTGCATTGGGCCTGTCCAGCTAACCAGGACGCTTACACATTTTGCTGCAGGAATGTTGCTGTGTTCGTGAACAGGCTACTTCCCCAGACCCTAGGACTCATTGCACAATGTCCAGTGTACCTCTCCTGTTGCCTTTCTAAAGCCTGAAATTTCCTGGGTTCTGCCACACCATCTCAAAGGTTTCAGGTGGAAGATTGTGGGCCATCTATCACAGAACCGATATGAGGATTCACGTGATGGTCTCCTATTGGACATAGTCCAGGCACCTTGAAATGCTCAGTTACTGTTGACTATCCCAATTAAGAATCTTGCTTAGTTAATGCAGGACAGCATTATCAAAGCCCAGTGCAGGAAAAGGAATGGAAGCCACGTTCCACTTCTGTGAACTGTGTAACCTTCAGCAGGTCCCTGTGGATCTCTGAGCCTCAGTGTCCTCAGATGGGAAGTGTGAGGTTAGACCAGATGAGAGCTCCCCATTCTGTAAGACTAGCACTCCCTTTTCATGACAAATACTTTGTAATGCCCCATTACCACCCTGAAATGATCTCCATAGATAATATAACCTCCCTTTTGAAAACAATGTTCACGGAATAAGCAAAATATGGCCATAAATGTAATGCAAAGGAATAAAAAAGAAAAACAAGCTAAAATAAAATCATACCACAACACTTAAAACTTTGACCCAGCCATTCCAAAGAGCATAATGAAGTATCAAATGCTCACACTGCTTGATTAGCAAGTTTGCATATAAAAGAACATAGCACACAATGGAATATTGTAAACACTTTCTATTCAACATTCGAATTGGGTTTAAATAAAAATGTATATGGGAGGCCAGCAGGTAGCATGGTAGTTAAGGCACTAGATTCCAACATGGTTGACTGTTGGATCCAGCGTCTTAAAAATCGTGCCAGGTGTAGGTACATCATGTGTGCCCAAGATCCTAAGATCAGCATGCCCATCCTCTTGGGAGAGGGGGGGTAATTTCCTGCTTTACCTCTCTCTACCTCTCTCCATCTGTCTCCTGTGAACACAAGTGCCCTATAGCAAAAACTGAAAAACAAAACAAAACAAAAAAAACACATGTAGAGTCATGACATACATGACAGTGAATGCGTAAGCAGGCTGTTAGGACTGTAATTTACTGCCCGCTCCGATACCACGAACAGCATTGATGTTGATGGTTTCAGAGTCTTGAAGCTTATTCCTGGTAGAGTGCTGGACAAAGCAAAATGCCACCTTCCCTCCATTTTTGCAGGATTCTTCTTGAAACAGTCTGTGTGTATAGAGTCACACAGTGAAAGTTTGTGTGTGTAAGTTAGAGTTGAGAACTGGACTCAGGTGATTAGAAACAAGAGTGACCTATACACAGATGTCCAGTGGTTTATTAAAAAGTTGTTCAGCCAGTGATTGGGGTGCTAGATTCCACATAACTGACTACATGGTTCAAGTCCCAGACCCAGTGACTTGAAAAATCTACCAGGTACTTGTGCATTCATGCCTAAAAACCCCAAGAGGAAAATAGAGGAGAAGGGATTATGGCGTGACCATCCTTCCTGGGATGGGAGGGTGATTTCTCACTTTCCCTCTCTATCTCTGTCTCTGGTGAGTACACATACCCTATAGCAAAAAAAGAAAAAAGAAAAAAACTGCTCAGGATGTAGAACGATCTGTCACTGTGTAGGGCTGTACTTTGCCTGGCAGGAAGTCCATCTGATTCCTGCCCACTGAATGAATGCCAATGGTTCTTTTACATTCCATGTTATAGTCAAAATTCCCCCAGTAACTTTAAAAACGGCCCCTGGTGGAAGTGGGCCCCCACATAAACCTACTGTTCTGCCTGATGCCTAGGGCCCCTCCTGCCCCATAGGACAGCACCCCAGGGGGGACAGTGCACCAGGCATGCAGGAGCACCACCCCTTGACCGCCATCTTTCCTTCTGGTTGCTGTTCTAGGCCCAGCTGATTGCGCAGTCCATCGGACAAGCGTTTAGCGTGGCGTACCAGGAATTCCTCAGGGCCAATGGGATTAACCCCGAAGATCTCAGCCAGAAGGAATATAGTGACCTGCTCAATACCCAGGACATGTACAATGATGACCTGATCCACTTCTCCAAGTCAGAAAACTGCAAAGATGTAGGTACTTTCCTAACACTGTTCTCCAAGCAGGGTGGGCTGGCGACGACCCTGTGGGGAGTGGGACAGCCGTGCTGTGGAAGAGAGAGCAGGACAGAGGGGGACGAGCACAGTGTGGGCAGATTGTCACAAGAACCATCTCTAACTCCCTTCTCGTGGGACCCTGTTATTAAACGTTGGGAAGAATGGTATAGACAGAGAGGGTGTGGAGAGGCGTCTTCTGTTCTTAGAAATCCCAAGCCAAGTTTTGGGTGAGTTCCAGAAGCAGATAAGACATGGACTGTGCAACTGAAGCCCACATCTAGGTACAGGACTGAAAAAACAGATGATAGTGTTGGGCACAGGCCCCAGTCGGAGCCAGCTGTGCAGGCAGAACGGAGCAGATGGCGGGTTTAGACAGAAGCTGCTGAGCTCATCAAGGACTGGCCCCATTACCTCACATGAGCTGTCCACCGGTATCTGCAGGGGGAGAGCCACAGAGCTGGTCTGGAGACCTGAGGGTTATTCAGAAAGTATGAGGGCAGGAAGAGAGTTGGGCTGAAGTTGCAGTGTGGAATCCTGAAGATCAGAAAGCACCCAATTTGAATAATAGGAATTGGGATGTAGGGGGCTTGGCTGGAGCAGGTGGTGGGAGCAGGAAAGGACAGGGAGAGACCAGCAGAGGTCAGGGTTGAACTAGAGGGCCTGCGAGTCCGGCTGAGAGGAGTTGGACTTTATCCTGTAAGAAGAACCTTCAATGAGAAAGCGACTCCTAATTCACCAGTGTGTGTTAGGTGTCACAGGTCACGTTCCCCAGAAGCAGAGCCTGAGACAGGCATTCTTGTCTAAGGTTTCTTGGAAGTGAGCATGCACTCAGAGCAAAGGGGGTGTGGAAAGCAGGTGATAGGGTGCTGCAGAAGAGTGACCTGCCTGGGTGTGAGCTTTGTTCTGCCCCAAAGGGAAGTTCCAGGCCACACATTGCAGACTTGTCCCACCTTGAGGCGAGGGAGCTGGCAGGCTTCGCGCCCACGCCGATCATTGCCAAGGTTGGGCAGGGGTGTGTTACTTTGCTGGGGCAGTAACAAAGGGCCACAGACCGGGCAACTTAAACAACAGAAACAATTGTCTCGCCATTCTGGAGGCCAAGGCCTTAGCACAATGGGCTGCTTCTGAGGGCTGCGAGGGAACGACCTGCTCCAGGCTTCTCTCCTTGGCCTATAGACAGCCGCCTTCTCCCTGTGTCGTCACATCATCTTCCCTCTGTGTGTCTCTGTTCCCGGTTTCCTCTATGAGAATAACAGTTTTCCTGGCTTCAGGGCCCACCCTAATGACGTCATTTTAACCTGACTACCTCTGCGAAGACCCCATCTTCAATAGCCATCACAGTCTGAGGTACTGGAGTTAGGACTTCAAATATACAAATTCTAGGGGAGACTCAATTCCACCCCTAAAAGGGAATGTGTCCCATTTGACTAAGGACAGTTCTTCAGGGAAGGGGGCGACTCTGAACCTCAGCTGCTGGGCGAAGGGGACACCAGGCCGTGAAGGGGCTTTGTCAGTCCCCAGTAAACACACACACATTCTTCGTAGATGCTTCCAGGAAGCATCTTATCCATTATGGCACCTTCGCAGGCCTCCCCAGACTGCAGGTATCCAACGCTAACGCCGTCCCCTCTGCCCAGCCACTGAGGCCAGGACGAATACCTGTATCTCTAGGATGCAGCCTACCTGTGGGCACTCGCAGCCTTTCAATTGTGATAACTTTTTTCAGCATCACTTTTTTCTTTCTTTCCCACCTCTCCCCTTGCAGAGAAATGTCTTTATATTTTCTTCTTTTGAACTCAGGAATCCTCAGTTTTGGAGAGGATTTGTGAAGCAGTATGGGAGAGAGGAAGCTATATGTAAAATTCAAGAGTCACTTCAGAAATCATAAAATGCCACCAAAGCGCCCTCTGACACCAGCACTTGTCCCCTCCCACTGGGGACTACAAAAGTGGGGAAAACAAACAAGCAAGCAAGCAAAAAACGTATGCTTCCCTGGTTGCGTTGTTAAGGCAGGATTGCTTTGTGAAACAAGGGTGAATTACCCAAAATGATACGGCCAAGTGTGAAATGGTTTCTTGCAAACCCCAAATGCCATGGAATGCAGAGAAGGCAGAGACTTATCTGGGTTGGAGCCACAAGGGAAGTGCCTTCGTAAGACAAGACAGGGAGAAAATACTTTGATCTTTACAGCTACCCCAGATGGTTTCCCAGTTCAGGCTTTCTAAGTATGTTTCTCCTTTCAGGTTTTCATAGAGAAGCAGAAAGGAGAAATCCTAGGTGTGGTGATTGTGGAGTCTGGCTGGGGATCCATCCTGCCAACTGTGATCATAGCCAACATGATGCACGGAGGCCCAGCCGAGAAATCGGGGAAGCTGAATATCGGGGACCAGATTATGTCTATTAATGGCACCAGCCTGGTGGGCCTGCCTCTCTCCACCTGCCAGAGCATTATTAAGGTACTTGGAAAGGGACAAACCAGCTTCCACCGTAGCCCTGAAATGTGATGTGTGACTGCCATCTGATCGTTAGTATTTACACGCATATTCTAAGTGCCAGGTACTGAGGAGGACGCAAATACAGAAGGCCTGAACTTGCAAGCAGGCAGCTTACCATCCATGACTGTTTACAAATTCCTCCCTGAAATCTTTTTTTAGATAAGGATAGTGTGTTGGACTTCCATACCACCCTGTCATACTATGCCCATCACAGGCATTGCCAATCAACCACAGCACTCTCCCCCTAAACCCAGAGTCAGCCTCAGCAGTTTTCTTCAGTTTAGAGATCCAGACAGTCACTTACCAGCCAGATCCACTTGAGATGGTTGGCCATCCCTGTTGAAAAATCACAGAAATGCTTCAAGAGAATACTGAGAGTCCTTTCTCTTTACTTGCTTTAAATTCTTTTATTTCATTTTATTTATTTATATATTTTAATTTGACCAGAGAGGGATAGAGTGAGAGAAGGAGACAAATAGTGAGAAAGCAAGCTACGTCCGGGGCTTGAACTTCAGTTGGCCATGTGGGAATCCAGCACCCTTAACCACCATGCCATCTGCTGGCCCCAAGAGGCCTTTTTCACTTACAGCACCCTCAGTTATGACGTGGATGAGTCTGGTTACTTCCAGAGCCCGCACAATGCTGTCCACGTGTGCTGGTTGCCATAAGAAAAAAGTAGCTGTTCTGTGGTCCCAGAAGCAGAGCCTGAGACAGGCATTCTTGTCTAAGGTTTCTTGGAAGTGAGCATGCACTCAGAGCAAAGGGGGTGTGGAAAGCAGGTGATAGGGTGCTGCAGAAGAGTGACCTGCCTGGGTGTGAGCTTTGTTCTGCCCCAAAGGGAAGTTCCAGGCCACACATTGCAGACTTGTCCCACCTTGAGGCGAGGGAGCTGGCAGGCTTCGCGCCCACGCCGATCATTGCCAAGGTTGGGCAGGGGTGTGTTACTTTGCTGGGGCAGTAACAAAGGGCCACAGACCGGGCAACTTAAACAACAGAAACAATTGTCTCGCCATTCTGGAGGCCAAGGCCTTAGCACAATGGGCTGCTTCTGAGGGCTGCGAGGGAACGACCTGCTCCAGGCTTCTCTCCTTGGCCTATAGACAGCCGCCTTCTCCCTGTGTCGTCACATCATCTTCCCTCTGTGTGTCTCTGTTCCCGGTTTCCTCTATGAGAATAACAGTTTTCCTGGCTTCAGGGCCCACCCTAATGACGTCATTTTAACCTGACTACCTCTGCGAAGACCCCATCTTCAATAGCCATCACAGTCTGAGGTACTGGAGTTAGGACTTCAAATATACAAATTCTAGGGGAGACTCAATTCCACCCCTAAAAGGGAATGTGTCCCATTTGACTAAGGACAGTTCTTCAGGGAAGGGGGCGACTCTGAACCTCAGCTGCTGGGCGAAGGGGACACCAGGCCGTGAAGGGGCTTTGTCAGTCCCCAGTAAACACACACACATTCTTCGTAGATGCTTCCAGGAAGCATCTTATCCATTATGGCACCTTCGCAGGCCTCCCCAGACTGCAGGTATCCAACGCTAACGCCGTCCCCTCTGCCCAGCCACTGAGGCCAGGACGAATACCTGTATCTCTAGGATGCAGCCTACCTGTGGGCACTCGCAGCCTTTCAATTGTGATAACTTTTTTCAGCATCACTTTTTTCTTTCTTTCCCACCTCTCCCCTTGCAGAGAAATGTCTTTATATTTTCTTCTTTTGAACTCAGGAATCCTCAGTTTTGGAGAGGATTTGTGAAGCAGTATGGGAGAGAGGAAGCTATATGTAAAATTCAAGAGTCACTTCAGAAATCATAAAATGCCACCAAAGCGCCCTCTGACACCAGCACTTGTCCCCTCCCACTGGGGACTACAAAAGTGGGGAAAACAAACAAGCAAGCAAGCAAAAAACGTATGCTTCCCTGGTTGCGTTGTTAAGGCAGGATTGCTTTGTGAAACAAGGGTGAATTACCCAAAATGATACGGCCAAGTGTGAAATGGTTTCTTGCAAACCCCAAATGCCATGGAATGCAGAGAAGGCAGAGACTTATCTGGGTTGGAGCCACAAGGGAAGTGCCTTCGTAAGACAAGACAGGGAGAAAATACTTTGATCTTTACAGCTACCCCAGATGGTTTCCCAGTTCAGGCTTTCTAAGTATGTTTCTCCTTTCAGGTTTTCATAGAGAAGCAGAAAGGAGAAATCCTAGGTGTGGTGATTGTGGAGTCTGGCTGGGGATCCATCCTGCCAACTGTGATCATAGCCAACATGATGCACGGAGGCCCAGCCGAGAAATCGGGGAAGCTGAATATCGGGGACCAGATTATGTCTATTAATGGCACCAGCCTGGTGGGCCTGCCTCTCTCCACCTGCCAGAGCATTATTAAGGTACTTGGAAAGGGACAAACCAGCTTCCACCGTAGCCCTGAAATGTGATGTGTGACTGCCATCTGATCGTTAGTATTTACACGCATATTCTAAGTGCCAGGTACTGAGGAGGACGCAAATACAGAAGGCCTGAACTTGCAAGCAGGCAGCTTACCATCCATGACTGTTTACAAATTCCTCCCTGAAATCTTTTTTTAGATAAGGATAGTGTGTTGGACTTCCATACCACCCTGTCATACTATGCCCATCACAGGCATTGCCAATCAACCACAGCACTCTCCCCCTAAACCCAGAGTCAGCCTCAGCAGTTTTCTTCAGTTTAGAGATCCAGACAGTCACTTACCAGCCAGATCCACTTGAGATGGTTGGCCATCCCTGTTGAAAAATCACAGAAATGCTTCAAGAGAATACTGAGAGTCCTTTCTCTTTACTTGCTTTAAATTCTTTTATTTCATTTTATTTATTTATATATTTTAATTTGACCAGAGAGGGATAGAGTGAGAGAAGGAGACAAATAGTGAGAAAGCAAGCTACGTCCGGGGCTTGAACTTCAGTTGGCCATGTGGGAATCCAGCACCCTTAACCACCATGCCATCTGCTGGCCCCAAGAGGCCTTTTTCACTTACAGCACCCTCAGTTATGACGTGGATGAGTCTGGTTACTTCCAGAGCCCGCACAATGCTGTCCACGTGTGCTGGTTGCCATAAGAAAAAAGTAGCTGTTCTGTGGTCCCTGTACTCCCTTTCACACTGGTCGTAATTACTTATTCAGCCTGAACTGATGTAGTCGCATAGACTAAGAAGAGCCACTTAAAGGAAAATTAAATGTGAACATAGGAGAAGAAATCAGAATTTCTTCTTAAAAGTGTGGCTTGCCTGTGTAGTCCTTGGAGCACACAGTCCTGGCAGATTGTGACCAGGAATGTTCCTCCTGCGTGACAACATCTATAGACCAGTAGCTCTGGACCAACACTCTGGGCTAGGGTGCCACAGCTTGGCCCCTTTTTCCTTCGGGATTTTTCTGAAAGACTGCTAGCTAGAAAATAGCCATGTGTGAGGGAGAGGAAGAAGGGAGAAGACGCATTTATACAGAAGTCATTACGAGCAGAAGAAAATCACAAAAGCTGCCATCTCTGGCTGAGTTCTGGGGGAGGGAGGTGAAGGTTAGTGTGTAGGATGCAGGACGGTTTCTCATTGTTTCTAATGAACTGAATTGAGTCTAATTCCATGTAAGATAATCACACCTGGAACGATACAGTCCTCTTTGGCCTCCTTTAGATTCTTTTGTTATGTCTTATACTTAAATTGTATCTCACACTTTTGTTATAACTTAAATTAAGCAATTACCTTTGCTTCATATACATTAAAGATAAAATTAGAGAATCTACTTTGAACATGCATAATTACTCAGACACGTCTAACTGGGCCTCTGCCAGGCATGGAGCTGAACTGCGGGCACGCTGGAAAGGCGGATGTGTTGGAGAATTGTCACTGAAGGGGTTTAGCGGGCCCTGATGGCAACATCGTGGGAAAGGCCTCAGGCATTCAGAGGAGGGGAGATTCATGATGCTGTTTAGGCTGACCTTGAAGGTATAAGGCCGAGGACAGTGGCAGAAAGGAAGTGGCCTCTGGAAGTCTCTGCTTGAAGTGACAGCAGACTGGCATTGAGTAGAGGAGGGACAGGGACTGAGCCTGGGCTGGGCCAGCTGAGCCCGTGTTGCTGTGATGACATGGAGGTGAGCTATGGCAGCTTAGGGAGGCAGGTCCAGCCCATGTCGGCTGTCTCTCACACTAGAGAGCACGTTACTTATTAAACACCTCGTGTGTGTACACGCAATCTGCCGAGGGGCTCTCGACCAGGCGGTGCATTAGGTGTAGTCCTCACCCCACAGGGCCTGGTGGCTGGGGAGATGTGGAAACACTGGTGGCCAAAGATCGGGTGGTGTGCGCATTATGGGGACACGCATGGATCAACTCACCAGACTTTCGCAGCAGCCTTGGGGAGAGGTCTTATTGTCACACCCCTTGCATGAGTTAGGAAACGAAGGCACAGAGAGACGATGCAGTCATCCAGGATCACACAGCCGTCCTGGTCCCTGCCTCCCGAGTTGTCCTGGGGAGGATTTCTGCTCCCATGGTAGATTCGAGGCCAGCCCTGGGGAGTTCTCACAGGGCTGATATCATGTGCCGCAGGATGTCAGGAGGCTGCTTTAGTTGTCACCGCTGAGAAGAGAGGGTGCTACTGGTACCCAGTGGGCAGAGGGCAGTGATCCTGTAGACATCCTGCTGGGCACAGAGCACCCCCACACACACCCTGAGCAGAGGATCGTCCATTCCTGCATGTCTGCCAAGGGTCACAAGCCCTGTGGGAAAGGGTGGGGCTGAGGCCTAGTCAGGGACTTCCGGACCTCCTGAGGACTGGCCAGGCTCCACGTCAGTGCTGGCCCTTTTTACCAGACACCCCTCTCCTCAGGACAGCCAGGAGGGGGACTGCAGATACCTGGTCCACAGGTGAGTTGCTGAGACCCCCACAAGCCACAGTTAGTTGCTCTGAACCCCCCCCCCCCCCACACACACACACA